AAATGGTGAAAGGAGGAAAGAATAGTTTATGCTGGAAGGAATAAAAGCTTTTATGTAGAAAAAGAGTCCAATTCAAATAGTATCGTATCAATACACGCACCTGTCAGCCACCGTAACGAGGCACAGGAGGCGTGTTGAGCGTTAAGGCAGGTGTATAGAAGTAGACATCCTCAAAATGTAGAGAGGGTCGTCTTTTTCAACACAAACAACTCGTTTCCAGCCGAGGTAGAATGCTTAGAACATTAGCCAACTTAACACAAGAACGGTTGAATAATAATTCCATCCATCCATCGTCAAACCGCTTATCCTGCACACAGGGTCGCGGGGGGGCTGGAGTCCTTCCCAGACAACTTCGGGCGAAAGACGGGGTTCAACCTGGACTGGTTGCCAGCTAATCGCCGGCTACACAGAGACTGAATACCAATTGCTTCCAACAAATTGCAGAGCTGGATAATTTAATTTATTAGATAATCAACGCTGTATGGATTCATAAATAAACGTTAGGTTTGAAAAAAATATATAATCCGTAGTGTCTGAGTGTAGCGTTGCCATCACTGAACACACGCGTGCACGATGCCCGTCTCCTTCTCTTGCCAGTGTCTTATTCCTTCGTCCCAGAGAACATAAATAGAGATACTGATCTACTGATCAGGCGTTCCTGCACAGAATGAGGCCATTATCATGTCGTGGAACATCGATGCCAGACAACAGTCCACCAGTTAAAAATTGCATAACATGTGTGTACTTTGTTCGTCTTGTTGTGCTGCCGATTGACCCTCCTTGTTTCTTCCCCTTGAGGCCAGATGTTTGACCGCTGGTCAGCGAGGGTCTATCAAAAAGTCCTGAGACTCCTAGAAGTATTTGCTGCAAAAACAAAAGAAAATGGATGCAAATCCTGGACTCTGAATATCTGGCCTCACCTGAAGCCTACAGTAGTGTGTGTGTGTGTGTGTGTGTGTGTGTGCAACATCATCATCATATTTCCAGCACAAACAAGCCCTCAGGAGCACGGGTCTATGATACAGGATGCTGGGAAAAGATGTGACCTCCTGGTCTGACGGCTGCGTTCGAGTCCTTGAGTAGATTTACTTTAACTTAAGTCAACACCACCTCGTTATGAAGGTGACTTGTGTGACATGTTTCTTTCTACAACAAGTTATTGCAATTTTCATATACACACAGACGTTGGTAATTATTAACAATAAACGCTGTAGTTCGGGAAGACTGTCGCTGCCTGTGATCTGACTTCGTAGTTTCATAAACGTGCCATAAGCAGTGGGACAGAAGTAGTAGAAAGATACCAATGTTGTGTTTTGAATCAGCAGGACACAGAGCTGGAAAATGAGCCCATAGTTGGCTGTGATGATGGTTACGAATATTCCTGATTATTATTGCTGGCAAGCTCCTTTTTGTAAAATAATTGGCAATCTGTCAGAGAAAATTTGTTTTGCGGATAAAAACATTTCCAGATCATAAAATGAATATTCAACTACAGCTTTGTGGCCGGGCCCCCGGGTCCCAGCTGCTAACCCCCCCATTAGCGGGCCACTCCATACTATATTAGGGCCAACGAGGCCTTCCACATATCCGAGTGACATTTACAAAACCACAGCAGTGCAAGACACAGCCTGTCGCTCCTATACAAGGAATTTTAAGGTGGGACGGATCATTGCAGATTAAATATTTACATTCTGCACATTCTGACGTTCTAAAAGCCCTTTGAATTTCATTCGTTAACATGCTTTTAGTATTAGCAACACATGCTTCTCTTTTCCCTATTCAGCTTGAATCTTGATGAAATTATGTCAACATAAATGATGAAGCAAAGTTCTTTCGCATCAGAGAAAATTAAATTGATATTGTCAGAGGGTCGGTTTCAGCAACTGCTCAACTGTACATAAATGCGAAAAAAATACAACTACAAATCCAAAATGACATAACTTTCTTTCTTTCTTTCTTTAATGGCAGGAGGGATGTTCCCTCCTCACAGGTTCCTACTTGCTGACAGGTACAGACCTTCTTAGACTTTGATTACAGTATGAATGAACAGTCCCCGCCCCCCACATTCTTTTCACTTTGTGAACTCTGAATCGTCGGCTGAATGCCGAGCTGACGTCGGCCTGCAGAGAGATGCTGCAGACACTGGCGCGAGGTATCGCACGAGACGCGTGGGCCACGAGCAGGACGAGAGGACCGATTTAGCCGCAGCACCGATTCCTGCAGAGCTGCAACACTCACTAGCCGGCTAGTTCACCTTTCAACTCTGAGCCGAGCTGCCGGTAGAAAACAAACTCATCTTTACAACTACGTCCTTCAGAACTATTAAATTGATCTGCCCCGCACGCACGCACGCACGCACGCGCACACGCACACACGTAAACAGCTTACAATAGCTACGTTTTTAAAGGCTCCGTAATCGCTCAAAAACATTTGGCATCATATTACAATCCGGGGACTATTTCTAAAAGTCAGGTAGAAAACAGGAAGTGAAATGACACAGAACTGACATCTCATCTGTCCTCTGGTGGCTGGACTTTCTGATTGGCTGGATCTTTTAATTTTCTTGCACAGTGGTTCCCTAACGGAGGTCCCAGGACCTCCAGGGTTCAGAGACAAGCAGCTGGGTCTGATTTGACTTTCCCAGGATGACTGCTGCTTAAATAAAGAACTCACTTCAGTATTTCCTCTTCGAGCCCTTTAGACGCTCATCCCACCAGCTGTGCTCCTGTCAATCAGTTCATCCTTCCTTTGCCGTAGTCGGTGTCAAGGCAACGGTCCCAGAGGGGAGGCTGCCAGATCAGCAGACTACACTACATAGCATGCAGTTAATCAGCGTTGTAGGTCTCACTCCTTAAGCACATTTCATTCTGGCAAAACAATAAAAACTGACCAAATATAAAAGCCATGATGTCATCATGTTGCGATTTTTTCCAGCAGCCCAAGCAGAAGCCGAGTGGAGAGCCTGTCCCAGCGATCTAAGAGAGGGATCTTTGCAGACGTCTTCCCGTCTTAAAGTAGACTCGGTGGGCCGTGCTCTGATGTACAGAACGATAACATCAATAATAAAGCAATGTGCCTGATCAATGAGCCGACACGTCGGTTCACCAGTCACAGGATGTGACCAATCGCACCGGTTTCTCTCTGCCGCACACTTATCACACAGAGACACAACGGAGGTCAAACCTGCCATCAGGAGGTGTCAACACCTGAAGTAAACCACAGGTTTCCACCAACATTTGACCTCATTCCACTTACGGCTCCCGAGTGGTATTCAGATCACAAACCGCTCCGGTTCAGGTGAAAATAATGAGCTTGCGTTTCAATCCATCAGAGCAAAGTGAAACTACGCTGGTTTTTTGACTCATCTTACAAACAAAACAGCTGCTTCTACAAGAGGAACCTACGGTTTTGACGTGTTGGTTAGTGCGTGTGTAAAAAAACCAAGGCCAGAGGAAATAACTCTTTCTATCCGTAAAAGCGGCAAACATATCCAAAAGACGTGATACATTTGGCAATATTCAGAACCAGTTGATGTTGGAAGAAAAAATCATCCCTCCTGTCTGAACTTCAAACGAGGTGTTTCTTAGTAAGAAGTAAGAGTATAAAAGCTACGAGTTGGAAAACGTTTACTAGCGGCAAGGCTCATTTGTGTAAACAATCTTTCTCGTATGATCGGACTAGTTCAATTCTGAGCTCATTAAACTAAAGTACCGGCTCAGCCTTTATCTGAGCCATAAATAACCTTTGGTGACAACAAAAAAAACTAATTTATCTACTTCAACTACTACCAATATATTAGAGCTTGTCAATATATGCGCGTGTGCTTATATCACCTAAGCGAGGAAAGGATGACGCTACTGATGTCATTATAAATAGCTTACGCTGTGTGTGCACACACACACGCAGGGTATTTCAAGGCATGCCACATAGCTGGTTAATCCCATAGTTGTCTCAGCCTGTTCAACCTGTTCCACAGAGAAAGTTACACGAGGACCGATGCTACAACGCACAGATCTGATTCGGACCGTAGTCCTGTGGATTTACAAAGAAACAACAATACGACTTGTTAGTCCTGAACTGAGGACATTCCTGAGTAGATATCTGCATTTAGTTTGTGTTTAAAACCAAGTGTAACTGCCCCCCGACCCCCGGTCAAGCTAATGAGCCAACAATCACAATCCAACAGGAATGAGGAGGATTAGGGTGAGATTTTGGTTTGCTCTTGGGGCACTTAATTAGCCGAGTGGTGACAGCGCACGCTACACAACGCTAGTACTTCTACTCCAGCATCGGCTCTTTCATTGCATGCTGTACCAATGTCTCTATTGCCCCCCATTTCTACCCTGTCCATCCGTCTACTAGAAAGACTGAAAGAAAAAAGTTACCCAACAAACTTTTCCTGTACTTTAAAATCTGTAAAAATGTATTTGGTTGCAAATGGCTTACATTCAAATCTCACGCGTAGCTTATCAATTGAACAATTGGCCAGACTGTTTGAAGTAAATACTTTTCAAGTTGGTGGAACACGAATCCAGAAGCGATCCACTTTATTTCAGCTTTCCTTGCATAAGGACCAGAATATGTCATCCTACCCATCATCCTTTGAGTTTTGAGATGCCTTCCTTTCTTAAATGATGCATTACCCTCTAAGTTCAGTGTTGGACAGGCTTACCGGAGAAAACGCTGCAGAGATTGATGTTTGCTTTCAAACGTGCTTGATGTGATCACAGCTTTAAACAAACTGTTCATACTCTGGAAAAGGTCTTTGCTTCGGAGCGTTAAGATGTAAAACAGTACATGTGTGGCAGAGTCACTGGAAATTTAAATCACTTTATCATAGAGCCGTTCCTACTTGAGACTCGTGGAAAAAATGTCTCGACTCTTCAATCATGACTTTTCATCAATGTGTAAAGCTTTACCCTCAATTCCTCTCAAACGCTTGATAAAAAGGCCACTGCTGTGAACAAAATGTCAGGTCAGTATCAATCATCGTCTCTTACCTTGCCCGTCTTGTGGTCGAACCACACCAGGGCATGATTCCTGGACAGCACCTTGCAGTCAAAGGTGGCGTTGTTCTGGGCCGGCCGGCACCGAGCCACCGACCTGCCGATCTTGACTGGCTCATCCAGGTACACATGGCGCTCCTGGAATGGGTGCGAGTTGGGTCGGCAGGCGAACACGGCCAGCGCCGAAGGCATTGACTTTGGCTTAAGGGTGCTACTCCAGCCGGACACGAGGGGCAGGTTTTCTTGATCCAGAGTGGCAGTCTTCTGTTGCAAATCCCCAATGAATGAAGTAGAATATCTGTGGCCTGCGTGTAGGCAGAGCTGTCAGTCCTCTAAGTTCCTAGGCACTAACTAATAAACATGGTCCACTGTGCACAGCCTGGGCTGCACCGCTTTCCCACCTCGATTCAACAAGACTCTCCTGTGTTTGAAACAAATCAAAATAAAAAAACAAACCAACAGGTAGAAAAAAGACAAGACATTCCCCTCACTGACTGTGCCCCAACACTACATAACGACACTGATATATGGGACAGCAGACACTATGCACGGAGCAGGGGGACATGTGTCCAGGACATGACTGAGTATAGCACTGACAGCCTGCAAAACAGCCTCCCACGTCCATCAAACTATTCCAGCATGTTTAACGTTATGTCCAGGAGCTCACACCACTGTGACTTCTAATCGGATGCGTTGCGAGTCAGAATAAACGAGCCGCCCAACGTTCATCGGTGGCAGTTAAGAATATTAATGCGCGCTTTCTCGCCGTGTTTAAGTCTCGTCTCGCAGCAAGCTAACAACGGGCACACACACACCGCAGGGTGACAACACGTTAGCAACGCGTCGTCTGTAATCTACTCGTCATTTACAGCCATAATCCGAAGTGACGCTGTCGCCCCGGTACCGTGGCTAGCTACTTAGCCTCACCACTCCCTCTACAGAACACCTGTAAGGTCGCTAACGACACCTAGAAAGAGTCAACGCCGAGCAAAATAAAAAACAGTTGTTTAACATGTACGGTAAATGAGGCCAACCAAAGCTGTTCAGTGTCCACTACTCGTCTGAAATGTGATAACGTTAGCGCAAAAGCGACAGAACCACTTAACCGGGCTGAACGAGGGATTAGCAGGTCTTCTTGTGCAACTGAAATGCTAATTGGCTAGCTCGCTAGCGGACGGGCAGAGCGCTAACTCTATGCCAACGTTTTCTGGCGTTGAACCAGTAAGCTAGGCTAGGCTAATGAATGCCGACAAAACTTATTAAGCAGGTGCCCAAATGTTTTTCCCCCACCCGTCTCAACCAGTTGGCTTACCGGATGGAGGCGAAATGCCATCCCTGTCTCCTGGAGTGAATAAAAGCAGCAAGCTAGCCCGCCTTTTGGCTACAACGGAGCCCCGCAAGCGAGTGTTAGCATGAAGAGGTGCGCTACCGAGCAGCTAGCCGGCTAACTGACAGTCCGGGGCAGACGCGGAAAAATCAGGGGAGTTTCTTGACTGCGGGTCCTCCTGCATCACACAAGCTCCGGTTATCTTCCAGCGGGGGTGATACAAATACTATGTACAAAGCCAGAGGTTGCGCGGTCGTCGTCCGTCGTGTTTGCCGACACCGGCTGGGAGTTAGAGCCGCCGCTTTCCTACAGTTTTCCGGGAGGAATCTATAAGAAGTTGTCCTCCTCCGCAAGTCCGAGCCGCCATACTGTATCTAAAGAGCAGACAGGCGCGCTGCGTTCAGGAACCGAGTTACATCAACTCCGCGAAACGATGAGCTCATTTCATCGGTTGACTCGAAAAAAATAGAGTTAAAAAAATATAAATAAATCAGTCATAAGCGTTAACATGTCTGGCGCCGTTTGGTTTCGATTGATATAGTAAAAGCCCTTTTGTGGTATGAAAAAAAGGCACGAGAAGCGACGATGAAGGAAAATACTCAACGTTAATGAGTCATAGAAATTTGAATTACTGAGTAAGGATCTTAAGATATTAAACGAAACAATTCCGTACTACATTACAATGAATACACTCACACACATTACACACGACCATGAACGAGTAATCAGATTGAACCTGCTTTGACTTGTTTATTTAGATTATTTGTAAACATTTTAGGTTAATAGTTAATATCCCAGGCTTTGTAAATGCATACAACAAAGTATCTTGGAAAGTATGGTATTTTAATTGTGATGGTACAAGTTTAAATGGAAGCCACGTCTTAATGAAAAATAAGTAATATTATAAGTAATAACTCAATTTATAACATGACACAGATGCACCGTGACTGGTCACTAGATGGCAATAACACACGGCCTTTTTACGAAGTCAAAAACTAAAAAGGTATTTTGGAGTTTTTCCCAATTGAAAGTTTTTATTATTACTTTGGAACTTCCCTGTTGCTTTAGGAAAACACAAGAAGTGCGCCTGTTGTTACCTGTCGTTATTTTGCAGTACGTTTTCATATTTGTAATATTACTCAGAACAACAAATGAGAGCATTTCAGAGTTTTATTCATGTGTATTGCTTTACAACCTGGGGCAGCAGGGCTGGGTGGGGGGTTGTGTGTGGAGATCAAGTTCTGCCCACGGCTCCGGAAACATCCCCACCGACAGCTGAGACCAAATCAATGCTGGATGAGACCGTAAGACGTTTAAGTATTGGAGGATTAAAAAAAGCATCTCTTTGCTGCTTATTTTGCTTCAATCCATTCACTGTGAACAAGAGATGAAAACAATAATTAATCGTTGATATTTCTAGTTTTGTGCATCTAAACAAGCTCTTCTCAAACGTTGTTATGCACAGATAAGCAATGTTCATAAAGTGAGTTTCCTGTATAAGAGAGACATTCTGCTTCTCAAATATGTTGGAAAAATAAGAATATAAATCAATTAATGAGACCTTTTGGGGCGAGAATAAAATAATAATCATTCGTTGAATTTATTGATGACGGTTGCATTTGAAACAATTCACACTCATATTGAAGTGGTTTAATACAAGAGTAGTTTAGAGATCCAGATGGTTGCCATAGTACACATAGTAGTGGTGGCTGGAGGGGTCATTGCAGGCTTCACTTTGGGATCAGCCTGATTCCAAATATGCCAGAGTGAAGAACAAGCCAAGGGCTGAGCCATGAATACCGACACGGAAGCTCAACCAGTGGTGTAATGTTTGACCATTCGGACTGTGCAGTTGCAGTTTCGCTGTAACCTGCAGGTCCTGGTCCTGGTCCTGGTCTTGACCCTGGTCCTATTGTCCCTGCAGCCATGCCCAGCCCTCCTGCAGAGAGAGAGGACCAGCTGTCAGCGCACCAACAGCCGACTATGATGTGAGATTTAACGGCATCCCACTGTGTTCAGCCTCTTTCACAGCATCCGATTAGACAGGAAGCAGTTTGTTGGTAACAGGCAACTCACAGACAGATAAACTCCATTATCACACATATTTACAAATGCAGTGGTCTGTTTTATGTTTTTGTGGTTTTTATGGTCTCTTTCCGGTTGTTTAATGATATAATTCAGTTTAACTTGAAACTCTTTGGACCTAAAAGGGATAATAGCGATGAGATGTTGTGTTATATTGTTGTCTTTTTATGTCATGGTTATGAGATATTGTTTTAATGTTTCAGTATTGTTAAAATAATATGGATAATTTCTCTACATATTTTTAATTTTGTTTGATATGTGCTTAAATTATATTTGTATGTCTAGTTGTATTTTATTTTCCCATTAATATCTTTTTTTTTTACAGTTGACAACGAGTACAATTATTGTACAATAATTTTTACACTATTTTTATTTTGTCTTTTGAATTTACCTCTAGATATGTCCTTGTGTGGCTATAACAAACGTTATTATGATTCAGAAATCCACAATTTGTATTTATTATAAAACAATTCTGACTATAAACGTAGAACATTGAACGTCTCATAACTTTGACTCAGGCTACCCCGAGTGGATTTGAACACAACCCAATGCCAGGGACGACATTACGTGATGACGTTCATCTCTACGTCATACGTACGTACGCTCCCCTGCTAAGTGCTAGCTACTTTCTGTAGCTCCGCTCGCCGTCTGTTATTGTCACCCGAGCGACGGACTCGAAATACCAGTCAACTTCTTTTGGAAGACGAAAATAAAAGAAGCGTTAACATTCTCCGGAGCCTTCCGTGCGCGCGCGTCGTGGCCGCTGCCATGGCTCTACGAGGCCCGGAGGAGCTCGGGGAGCAGGTCGAAGAGCCGGAGGATCTGGACGACCAGGACGCCAGCAGCATCTCCCCGGCCGAGGAGATAACCCTCCCCCCCGGGACCGGCGGCGAGGACGAGCCGGAGGAGGCGCTCCTGCTGCCCTGGGACCGCTTCTCCACCTGGCTGCATTGCATCTGCGTGGTCGGCTTCGACCTGGAGCTGGGGCAGGCGGTGGAGGTGAGGCCGAACGATCCCGGATCGGGGGGGGGGGCAGCTAAAAGAAAATGCTTAAGTTAGCAGTTATTAAAGGCTGCGGCTATTTCCTGGGCTGGAGAACGTACAGTTCTCGATAAAGCCGTTTGTTTAGTTCCCCGGTTGTTTGTGGTTGTTTTTGGTCTGACACTGCTGACGTGTGTGTGTGTGTGTAAACACGAAGATGGAGAGTGTAGAAGAATATTACAACTGTAGAATATCGACCTCATTACATTCCGATAGTTTATCAGCAGCGAGTTAGCCTGTACCAACAGTATCAGCTTGGCTGCTACCTCCAGAGGAACGTTACTGGAACTTGTCCCCCGGTAGTTGAGCAAGGCACCTTTGGTATGAAGGGGTTAAATCCAACACAACGAAAAGCGAGCATTGCCACAGGTGTTGCAGCTGATCTGGGTTCAGTCTCCTGCAGGTCTTTCCCTTGTTCCGAGGATCTGAGCCACACAAAGTCTGCATGGCTTGTTTTGAATAAAGTTTGTCCTCTTTATTCACTGACCGGTTAAAGTCGTTTTTGAGATGCAAATAATCAGCTATAAGCGTGGAAGCTAACGCAACAATCGTTATAGATCTGACCAGACATTAGAACTTTTTAGTAGTTTGAATAACAAAATGTGGTAAAGTGCAATTTGGTGTCAACAAGTTACATAAAGTTGTGGACCAGCGGACAAAAAGTGCGTCTTTGCTTCACAGCTGGACACAGTTTGTAGATGCATGTTGATGAGCTCCGTTCATTTGTCTTCCAGGTCATTTATCCTCATCATTCCAAACTGTCCGAAAAAGAGGTAAGTCCCACGACCGCTGGGATCTTATACGCTTCATTTTTTAATGTGTTTTTTAACATGCTGTTTGTGGTTAACAGATCACACTAAATCCCATTAAAATAAGATTATTTGTAATGTTTTCAGGGAGGTTAAACCGTGATCTCCTACAGCTTCCTATCCGCTGTGTGTCTTTGTGTTGGTGGAAAGAATCACTGAATCAACACAATAAAGCCAACGAAAAATAAACCAAATCTCCTCTCTTCCAGAAAACGAGCATCTGCTATCTTTCCTTCCCCGACTCCAACTCGGGTGAGTTCCTGTTTTGAGCCTTTTAAAAAAACATCCTGCTCTTCACTCCACTGGGTGTCCTCGCCGTGTCCTCGCTTCAGAAGCGAGGACACGGCGAGACGTTAAAGTGTGTCCAGGCTGGTTCATTACATTTACTCTGAAACAACTATGGATTAAAGCTGCTGCGTGAAAACAGAAGAATGGAAGAAAAGAGCGATTTATTCGTCAACCGTTCGATATCTGTTATTAAAGCCGAAAACAAGGAGAACAGACGTTCAAATCCGTGAACAAATACTTTGAAACAAATCCGCAGAATCGTACGTGACAACAGATGCAGATGCATGAACAATGACCCGGCTTTGTGTTTCCCACGGTAACCGCAGCTCATCACTCTGCTGCTGTTCACAGGTTGCCTTGGCGACACGCAGTTCTGCTTCCGCTTTCGTCAAGGCTCAAACAGGAAGTCGTCACTCGGCTGCTTCCTGGAAACCACCGACCGGGACGCACCGCCGTGTCTGAAGGTCCGCGCTCACACACACACACACACACACACACTCTCTCTGTCTGGTTTAGTGATATAAAACTGAGATGTGTGTGTGTTTCAGAGGGAACAGGGCCATTACTATGGTTACGTGTACTTCCGTCAGGTGAGGGACAAATCCCTGAAGAGAGGATACTTCCAGAAGGTTAGAACTTCAACATGAGACATGTTTCACTAATATAGATAATAGTATATGATTGTATTCTTGTTGTTAATGATGTCATTGTTGTTATTTTCATTATATCTAAAGATTTTTTTTATATTCATTGAGGAACAATTTTCAAAAATGCTGAGCCATTTTCAACCCGATTGTTTGAACAAAAGAAGCCGTGTCCATTCTATTTACTAAATGGTTCATTGAATGATGATGATGAACGTGGTGTCTGTGTGTAGTCTCTGGTCCTCATCAGTAAGCGGCCCTACGTGACCTTCTTCCACTCGCTGCTGAAGATCATGGCTCCAGAATACTTCGAGAAGCAGGAACCCTGTCTGGAGGCCGGTCAGTGACGACCTCGATGACCTGTCTGTCTGTCCACCTGTCTGTCTGTCTGACTCTCCCCCGTCTGTCTGTTTTCATATTTAATCCCGCCCGTGTTGTCCTCTCTCCTTGTGAACTCCTTTTGTAACTACGGTTTTGAGAGCTGGTGTTTGTGCGTCTCTGCAGCTGTCGGAGTGCAGCGAATAAACTGAGATACACTTGAATTTCTTTGTCTCTTAAAGCGCCGCGTGGCCACAGTTTTAATCTTAACTGACTCCGATCGCTGTTATTTCTGCGTTTGATTGACAGCTTGTAATGACATAGACCGTTGGCCGGCACCCCACCCTGGACGGATTCTCACGCTCCCCATTATGGGCGTGGTCATCAAGGTAAACACGCACACACACGCAGCGTTTCTCTGTGACTGCCAAAGCAGCGCCCTACAGATTCAAGGCTCGGGTGTTCTGAGTGTTGAAACGTGTGCGACTGTGTTGAACCAGATCCGCATCCCGACCTGCTACGACAAACCAGGAACCTCCCAGCTGGTCCAGTCGGCGCAGGTGACCACACGCACAGAGCGCGTTAATATCACGCCACATAAGATATGTATTCATACGTGAAGGGCCTCTCTGCGTTCCAGAGTGACAGTCAGGTGTCCATCGTGCTCCCGACCATCCACGAAGTGGACCTCTTCAGGTGAGCCCTGCAGGTGTTTTTCCATCCCCGGGGGTCTGCCACCCCCTGCTGTCCGAGGGCGGTACTGCAGGACTTCTGTCCACTACCCTTCACGCCGAAGTTTGCCAAAAATACCAGGATGTTCTCAGGCATCCTGTTGCATTTTACAACGTGCAGAGCCAGCGCGCTCCTCCTACTGTTCTGAGGGTCAAAGTTCAAGTGGCCTGTCAGTACCTTTTGCGGTATGTTTCAGGGCATCTTTAAGACGTTCGTGAATATCAACCAGAGAAGATGAGTTGTGGTAAAGGAAGTGAAGCGTATCGATGAAAACAAAGTCCCCATAGCGCTTTCTGGCTGTCAGGAGAACAGATCCGCTCTAAACGTCGCTCCCTCCCTCCCTCCCTCCAGGTGTTTCTACCCCGTCTTCTTCCACATCCAGATGCTGTGGGAGCTGGTGTTGCTGGGGGAGGCGCTGGTCGTCATGGCGCCCTCGCCAGCAGAGTCGTCGGATACTGTGCTGGCGTTGGTCAGGTGGGTGGGAGGCGGTTAGGGGAATATGTGTCTTTAAGTCTCCAATTTCGATGGAGCTCTCTGCTCACAGGAGGCTGAATCTCTCCCCCTCTCTCTCTCTCCCTCTCCGGGCAGCTGTATCTCCCCCCTGCGATACTGCAGTGACTTCCGGCCGTACTTCACCATCCACGACAGCGAGTTCAAGGAGTACACCACCAGGACTCAGGCTCCGTGAGTAAAGACAAGCTGCCGCGTTGCCCTCGAGCAAATCGCCGGCAACAATTCCCACCTTTTTGAAATATTTCCTACGTATTCTCGTACATTAGTTTGTTTTTCCCCCATTCAAAGTCGGTTCTCTCTGCTACTTCAGGCCGTCGGTCATTCTGGGAGTGACCAATCCGTTCTTTGCTAAAACGCTGCAGCACTGGCCGCACATCATCCGCATCGGAGACATGAAGCAAGCAGGTGGGTGATCGGGAGGGACGTTGTTGAGGAAAGTGTCCCTTTGTGTGTGTGTGTGTGTAGAAAATCCCCTTTTTCTCTTAATTTAAACTCTTTAAAAACCCTTTTTGACCTTTCCCCTTTCCTTCCGTCTGCTCCTCTCAGGAGAAATGGCCAAGCAGATGAAAGTCAAGAAACTGAAAAACCTCAAAACTCTGGACTCTAAACCCGGTAAAGGCCTCACGTCGACTTCCTCCCTGCGAGGCTCCTGCTGAGGCTGCAGATCCTCCTCCCGTTGACTGTTTGTTGATCTGTGTGCGTGCAGGTGTGTACACGGCCTACAAGGCGTATCTCAACAAAGACGAAGAAATCCTCAAACAGCTTCAAAAGGTAAGAACCGGATTTGTTTTATTGATTATCTATCAGAGCAGTTTGATAATGGAGTTGTTGTAGTTATCGTGTGTGTGTGTGTATATAGACAAATTTATATTGAAATTTTGTCTGTTTTCCAGGGCGTCCAACAGAAGAGACCCTCAGCAGCCCCAGAATGCAATTCTTTCGACGCTACTTTCTAGAACTGACGCAGAGCTTCATGATTCCCGCTGGTATGAACGGATGATTTCTATCTAGTTCTTTTTACATGTATGTTACTGACTCTTAAGGGCATGTGTGTGTGTGTGTGTGTGTGTGTGTGTGTGTGTGTGTGTGTGTGTGTGTGTGTGTGTGTGTGTGTGTGTGTGTTTCAGGAGCGCTACGTGGCCAGTCTGATGCCCCTGCAGAAGTCCATCAGTCCCTGGAAGAGTCCTCCCCAGCTGCGACCGTTCCTCCAGCAGGACTTCATGAAGACGCTGGAGAAGGCCGGACCTCAGCTCACGTCCAGGCTGAAGGGGGACTGGATCGGACTGTACAGGTGAGCCACTGGAGGGAAGCAGAAGAGAGCGGCTGCTGTGTTTGTCTCCCGGTGTGGAGGAGCTGAGCGACGCGTTGACGCTCCTCCTCGTCTCTGTGTTTCTGCTCCCCTCCGCGTCCCAAAGGCATTTCCTCAAGTCCGCCAACTTTGACGGCTGGTTCCGCAACAGGAGGAGAGAGATGACCCAGAAGCTGGAGGCTCTGCACCTGGAGGCGCTGTGTGAGGAGGTGAGGAGGGAGGATGAAACGTCTAGAAGAAGACTGTTTTCAGTAGTTGATGTACTCGTACCTCTGGATGCTGTGGGTTCTGTTTAAAAGTAATAATTGCCTTTGACGGGCGTCATGTGTGAATTACAGATGCAAAATAATGATGAGGGTAATTTTATTTGTAACAACTGAACATCCACAAATCTTGTTTTTAGGAGGTATTAACTTTGGAGACGCACAACAGACTAGAAAATTGATTCCACAGATCACTCACTCATAGAAGCCCAAGTGTCAAAGAGAATGTGCAGTGTAACCTGACAGTGGAAACCATGACGTGGACGAGGTGCTAGTCTTCATCCACCATCTCCTCCCGTCTCTGTAGGACCTGCAGGAGCGAGTCCCGGCAGCACTCGGAGGTGGAGACGGTCGACCTGGTTCTGAAGCTGAAAGATAAACTGGTACAAACACGTTTTTCATCATAATAAAAGTTGATTCACATTTTACTACCATGTTAAACTGTAGCAGCTCCTACAACTGCTGCTACTAGTAAACCTGTACTGGTACTAGAACTTATACTGTACTAGTAAGCAAAGTCTAGTAACTAGTATTACTATAGTATTTAATCACTCATAATACACAGAATTTAATATAGTACTGATATGCTACTACTTCTTAAACTGCTTAGAAGAGTCTATAGAAGAGTTGATATCTGAGGTAGAAGAGTTGATATCTGAGGTAGAAGAGTTGATATCTGAGGTAGAAGAGTTGATATCTGAGGTAGAAGAGTTGATATCTGAGGTAGAAGAGTTGATATCTGAGGTAGAGGAGTTGATATCTGAGGTAGAGGAGTTGATATCTGAGGTAGAGGAGTTGATATCTGAGGTAGAGGAGTTGATATCTGAGGTAGAGGAGTTGATATCTGAGGTAGAAGAGTTGATATCTGAGGTAGAGGAGTTGATATCTGAGGTAGAGGAGTTGATATCTGAGGTAGAAGAGTTGATATCTAAGGTAGAAGAGTTGATATCTGAGGTAGAAGAGTTGATATCTGAGGTAGAGGAGTTGATATCTGAGGTAGAAGAGTTGATATCTGTCGGGTTTGCAGGCCCAGGCGGAGAGGGAGCAGCTGCCGGTGCGTCCGGGGACTGTGGTCAAACTGAGGGCCCACATCGAGGCCGTGATCCTGGCCTTACCGGAGGACCTGCAGGGCATCCTCCACAAGCCCTCCACTCCCTGACCTTTAACCTTCTAGTCCCACCCGGTCTGCTACTCTTACCCCAGTCTGAGCTTGTTCTAAAGTTCGGGGGGTAGTGGGTCTCCTCCCAGTTACTCAGGCTGGACCCCGGTTGGAGGACCTCCTCCGGCCTGACATGGAAAGCACACAACGCATTTCCTTTTCCCCAAAATATTCATCCATTTCCAACTGAAACAACGACTGCAGCAGCTCCGAGCGGACGCGTCACTCTTCGATAGCGTTGAAACTCCTCTTACTCCCCAGGAGGAGGGTTTTTTTTAGTCCTGAAGAAAGGAGAGGAGCGCTTGGTTCGTCCCAGCTTTGCTCTTTCAACATGCAGCTCCTGTAGAAGAGCTTCCTCTGGGCCTTTGTGTGGCAGAAGGATTCGTCATCACGGGAACCTCAGCTGACCTTTGACCTTCAATATTTTTTCCTTTTGACCTTTTTTACATGTTTTTTGTTTCTTTGGCGATGGACTGCTGCAATTTGGTGGAACTGACTTGAGGGTTTTTTTGATGGTTATTTTTAAAAGAAGTGCACTTCATCATTAACTGGACCATTGTGCCCTTGAAACACACACACACACACACACACACACACACACACACACACACGTCTTTATGCAAACACACTGAGCCGAGCAGAGCCAAGCAGTGCTTTATGATAAATGTAACTAATGCATAAAAACACACCGCATCAAGCACCAGCGGCCCTGTAACAACTGTCATGGTGTGACAGCTCCTCAGCTAATCACATCGCTGTACTCATGAGACCTCCGTGCAGCCCATCGTAACGGCGTGAGGGAAAGATGTCCTCCAACGAAACATTGAAATAAGGAGAAAGTCCAAACTGTCCGAGCGGAGGAACCGATTTCAGTGTCCTCGAAGCCGTTGAGCGACATTGTCAGAATCGTGTCCTTTTTAAAAACAAAATTCTAATTAAGCAAAACAGTCCAAATAATTTGAAAGTCAATTAATTAAGAATGTAAAAAAACGAATAAAACCATGAATAATTAAAGCAATAAGAAATCGTTTAATTCATTTCAGTTGTTCAGGGTTTAAATGACAATAACTTAGTAGTTTGTGATGACACAAAGCAGAAGTTAATTGGTCTCCTCAGACGTATGGATTGTGTGTTTCTCTGTTTCATGCAACACATCTTGTATAAATGCGTATTGTAATAATTGTAAAGCAACGCAACTGAAATGTGCGTTGTTTGGAAAAACCTCTGACATCTGGTTGTCGCAGGCAACCAAGTTTTAAATTTGTAAAACAACTTATTTTAACGATTTTACATTTTTTTTAATGGGGATCGGATTTTTGTACATGAAGGAGTGAAGTCAGACATGATGATGTACAATAATGATTTTGCTACTGTGACTTATGTCTTACTAAATACAGAGATATGAATAACAACTCCATATAAAATGATTATTTACCTCTTAGAAATATTGCAATGTTGTTGAGACCAGTTGACGCTTTGAATTTGCTGTTAGTTGATAAAGGCAATAACAATGTAATTAAGGATCCTTACTCCCAAACTGTGGTAGCGGACAATTTAACAAAAGCATCAAGTATGATGAAAAGGTTCAGCTGATGTCATCTAAGGAACGTTGAAAGTAAATTAAAAACCTGTGAAATGAGAGAAACCTGAATTATTTGTGTTCTCTTTCTGCACAGACAGCAGTGCTGGAAGAAGTGTATAAATACTGCTATTGGGTATCAGAGTCCATCCATCCATCCATTATCAAACCGCTTATCCTGCACACAGGGTCGCGGGGGGGCTGGAGTCCATCCCAGCCAACTTCGGGCGATAGACAGGGTTCATCCTGGATTGGTCGCCAGCCAATCGCAGGGCCACACAGAGACACACAACCATTCACACTCACATTCACACAACTACGGGCAATTTAGAGTCCCCAATCAACCTGATCCCCAGAGCATGTCTTTGGACTGTGGGAGGAAGCCGGAGAACCCAGAGAGAACCCACGCAGACACGGGGAGAACATGCAGACTCCACACAGAAAGGCCACTGGGCGGAATCGAACCCAGGACCTCCTTGCTGTGAGGCAACAGTGCTAACCACCACGCCACCGTGCCGCCCGGGTATCAGAGTATATTCAATGAAATAAAAGTAGGAATACTCAATACGTGGAACACCTCAGAAAACTGTATTTCATTATTTTGGCTCATAATGGATGGAGTTCTATTTTGAACGTTTAATGTGGAGCAAACTGTTCTCATGGTTGCATTAAAATCATCAGAAGCTACGAGCTCCAAATGTCAAAGTCCATCAACACGAGCAGAAGCGTCACACGAAGCCTCACGCAGTCGTGGTGCCGCTCTTCTTCATTTGATGGCAAACAATTACAGAAAATGATCAGAATTGTTTGAAATGTACATTAACTTTATTGTAACTGGAAACCTTGACCCTGTTTGCTTCGTTTAGATTTGATAATAAACAAAGTTTCGATGTAAGTGTATTTCCTTGACGGCACCAGGGGGGTCTGGCGGGTTTAGTGGGTTATGATATATGGTTGTATGACAACGGCTGTGTTCAAAGTGCTGTAACGGTCTCCATCGTATCGAGAGTCTTACATGAAATGTACAAGCAGCAACCAAAACGCGTCAGTCGTCTCTTTATTGTTTTACGATCAAATGAGGAAGTGAATACACGTTAAAGGAGAAATTCAGTGGAATTAAAGAATCATCATTTTGGTGCATTAATGAGCGACTTCTTCATAATAATGCCATCGCTTCGATAGGTGATTTATGATTAGTAGTGGTGATTAATAGAAATTCTTCATTATTAGCTCCTCGTGCACGTGTGTTTCATTAAAGCGGTTCTCTCTCCCTCTCCCCCGCGTTGGAAAACCTCCCGGCCTTCCTCCCCTCCTTTCCTCGATGTTTGCGAAGCCCGCCCCTGGCGATTGGCTTCCTCCCCTGCAACTCATAGTTGTCCTCCAATAGGATGCGTCCTCTGGGGGAGTAGCTGATGTCGGACCAGGAGAGGGCGGAGCCTCGGTAGGGCCTGAAGAAATATCAGAGGGTGAAATCATGACAAGCTCATGAATGAAACGTGTTAGCCGGCCAGTTAGCTGCCGGGAGTTAGCGAGCTAAAACGACACATTGAATATGCGTTTCCATGGCGACACACACACACTTACATGTAGACGCCGCCCATCATGTAGTTGAAGACTTCTTTGTAGCTGAGAGGATAATCCCAAACCTGGACGTCTGTCAACTGACCATCAAAACCTGGAAAGTCCATCACAGGCTCACCTGACCAGACATAGTTAACCTGAAACGCACACACACACACACACACACAATAAAGATGGCTGCGGACAAAATCCAAAAGTTGGTTTCTCTCATTCTGCTTCTGTATGTTTAAGTTTTGTTGGGATATGACAGGATCGTTATGGATGAAACAGAGATTTTCCCGTTTTATTATCGTCATCCTTGGTTTAATATATTTTTTGCTGAGACAAAGTGATTATTTGTTTTTTTTTTGCAGTGAGAACTTATCGTATTCTATTTGTAACACATGCAAACATGCTTTTGTGAATCCTGTGTAGATCAGCCTCATGCACACTTTAAAACAGAAACTGTAATAGTAATAAATAAATTATGGAAGCGCAAGCACATGATATTATTCTGATATTCCCGTCTTTGGGCCAAAACAGATCAAGAGAGGACAGAAGGACTCTGGCTCTGCTGGCGGGAATCGTGAGCAGTGATTGGCTGTCGGAGATCCTCGCCGGCCTCGCTACGGAACGGGCAGAAGAAGCCTCTTTGTTCTCACCCCTGCAGGCAGCATCTTCCTGGTGCTGATGTTGGAGCCACTGAACACCTGGGCCACTTTCCTCCCGGAGTCCACGGTGAGGCAGACTCTGGTCCAGATGTCCGGGGCGGCGTTCGGCCAGAACCGGAGATTAGGTTGGAAGCGCAGTTGCCTGTAACCATATGTTGAAAAGTACAGCCCATACCACTGACCATGGACTGAAAAGGTCAGAGGACTTCTGGAAGGACTCAGAGTGAAGAGCGTAGAGGGGGGGTCATCGGACAGGTAGCGCAGACACACGGACACACCTGCAGGAGTCACATGGTCAGAGTTCATCCAATCATTCAGGTATGTGAAACAAACTGTGCTTATTAGGGTTGCAAAATCCCGGGAATGTTCAAAGTTGGAAACTTTCCACGGGAATTAACGGGAGTATACGTGATTTAACAGGAATAAACTGGAAATGTTTCAGCGCACAAACGGCACACGTTATCGTCCACGCAACTATCTTAAAAGACCGATTTTTTTAGATACCTTCACCCGTAAAAATAGAGTCAGACGCCTGACTGATGAGGCATCAAGGTAGAAAGACAGCGATCTTACAGGTGGAGTTTTGGAACACAGTACCTCCACCTGCAGTAGCCCGTCTCCCACTGCATAGATTTTTTGCGGAAAAAACTTTGCCGCATTTTTTTTTTCTCCCCCAAATTCCCATGGAAACTTTCTAGGAACTTTCCATAACGTTTGCGTTGCGTTTGATGATGAGCTTTGTGAGCGAGCTCACCTCCGGTCGCCGGGGCCGTGGTCCAGGGCCTGGAGGTGGTGTAGTACGGTCGGGCGGTGGTGGAGCTCGGGGGATGATAATACGGCCGATAGAAGAATGCTCCTCCATCATTGGACAAAGTCAACATCTTTCCGTTCAGGTTGAGTCCAGGTGATTCTACAGGAAGAAACAACACAAAGAGCAGGATTCCATTCAAGCTCCTTTTCACGCCTTTTAATACGCGTCACTAATTCATTAAAGAATACGTTTTGCCAAGTTCCTTTTATTGCAGATGTTTTGGGGGGTTTGTGCCGTCTCACTGCTGTCTGCATATATTTTGAATGCATTTCTCCATCAGCATCATACTTTAGTCCACACACAATGTATTTCCAAGGTAAAAAACACTAAATATTAATGACATTATTAAGGAATCCAGGAAGCATCCAGGTCACTGAATAGATACAAACTGCTTTTCTATTCAAAATAAAAACCCAGCGGTTCTTATTTACAGGTGATTAAACACTGTAGAGTTGCTGGTGTCATATAATACATTTAATAAATATAATAAGAATAGGAATAATAGAATAATAATAACAATAGAATCATTGCTTCATCTCACCCAGATGGAGAACTACAGTGCTGATCTTTATCAACACACACACACATACATACACGTGCACACACACACGCACTAACCTACACACGCACACACACACACACACACACACACACACTGAGTAGCTTGCAGGGAGAAGCTTGATTTGTTAGTGTTACTTTCCTCGCCAGGAGATGAATGCCAATAAAAATCCCCAAAAGTCAGGAAAACGAAGCTGCGTGTGCGCGCGTTCGTACCTGTGGTTGTTGTCCGTGTCTTTGGTGTCCATGCCGTTGTTGGCCGTGTCTTTGGTGTCCATGTCGTTGTTGTCCGTGTCTTTGGTGTCCATGCCGTTGTTGTCCGTGTCTTTGGTGTCCATGCCGTTGTTGGCCGTGTCTTTGGTGTCCATGTCGTTGTTGGCCGTGTCTTTGGTGTCCATGCCGTTGTTGTCCGTGTCTTTGGTGTCCATGCCGTTGTTGGCCGTGTCTTTGGTGTCCATGCCGTTGTTGTCCGTGTCTTTGGTGTCCATGCCGTTGTTGGCCGTTGTGGTGTGACAGCGGACATCACCGCTATCACACAGACGAAGGAGAGCAACAGGAGCCTCATCGTCTTGGTCTTCATGCTCGTCCGGTGTCTCTGCGTGTTCGTGTCCTGGTCTCGTCCCTCTGAAACAATTTTACTTCCTGCTGCGACAAGTTTTGTTTCTGCGGCTTCAAATGAAAACTTGCTGCGTGTTCCTCTTTATTGGCTTTATGTCTCTACGTGAAGAACTTTGAATCCCTTGTTGTTGAAATTATCTCCATAAAATACACAAATAAGGACTTATTTGTGTATTTTGTGTAAAAATGCAAGGGTTTCAGTTCAATTCACGCTAGTCCCACAATGACATAAACACTTTCACGTACTCTTTTTTCCACACGTGTGACTTTTTATTCACGAGTTTTATACATTTGACATTACTTATTTTTTAAATGCAATTCTATTGTATTTTTGCACAGTAAGCTGACATACAAGAAGACATGTCTCAGGACTTGCTCGTGGCTGCTTTAGACCTGCTATAGAATCACATTGAATGGATTTTAGGGATTTCACCCGTCGCCCTCTGAGCTTCTCCGTGTATGTAGCAGAGTTGAATGATGGTATTATGACTGGTAATTGTATACTTTGTACTACATTTGCCTCTTTACAGTGTAAACACCGCTGGTTTGTTAGTCTTGTGAAATCACGGATCCACGTGGAGGAAACCAGCGCGTCCTGTGTGACCACGTGATGATGTCTCACTCTGTCGGGATTTCTTTGAACCACAAACACACGTGCGACAGACGGGTCACGTGTCCTTGGACTTGGTCCTCAGTACAATAATCTCAATGTACAATAAAATAAAATAATTCGGTAAAAAAGGGAGAAAGGAAACGAGAACAAACCAAATGACACAACTCTGTGAGATGTTTTCAGATGGTTTCGTTAATGACATCCTCTTTTGTGTACTTCTCTTTTTACTGACAGAAACGACACACAATATGAAACAAGAACTAACTATTAACTTCTTGCTGTGTCAATAAATCTCAGTTGCCTGGAAAGCCTCATTCCACTGGTGGATTGTGGCAGGGACAAAGTGTTCAATGATTAGTGAAACACACACTATGGCATCGTCATTACACTGACTTCATGCTTATTGTGTTGTGTTACTATATTATGAGCCTTTGTCTACTTGGTCTGCGGTGTTTCTTATTTTATTGGCATTCATGATGTGGTTAATTAAGAAGGAAAAGAGGCAAAACACAGACACCTTTGAAAACAGGCTTGTCAGTTCTGCCAACATCAACAGGGGGAGGAGTCAGGGAAACGCTTCCTGTTGCACTGCAGGAAGCACAGTCTTTTTTCAAAATAAAAACTAAACAATAGTTTGACCGTTTCAGAACAAAACTTCAGTATTTAAATCGAAGTAAACTGACCCTTACTCTTACATTACGTCTATATTTAACATCTTTAACATGTTTCCCAGATCAATGGTTAGTTTTTATTCAATTTAGGGATATAGTCCTTAATTATAGACAAGTCAAATAACTTTTTTTTGCAAAAAAGGGGGAAACGTAAAAGTAAGAAAAGTACACATTGGAAACTTACTAAAACCATTTTAAAAGGTAGCATAATATATTGAAGTTGAGCAGAAGATCTCAAATGTATCTTCAATCACTTTTAGACAACGACGGAGCTCTATGGCACAGAGGAGATTCAACCTGCTTTATTCTGAAGGCTGGCCTGTGAGCGGAAGTGGGGTTTTCCGGTGCGTTGTCATGGCAGCCGTGTTGCGTTCGTCGCCACCGTGTACCGAGCTGACAGCAGCCGGGATGACAGCGTGGAAAACACACGCACACACCGCTGCTCTATAAAAGCCAGACACACACACACGCTCACACACACACACACACTCACACACACACACTCAGCGACACACGGAGAGAAGTTGCTTAAATCTTTCTACTTGAACAATGGGCGTCATCATCTCACACATCTTCTCCCGGTTCATCTCCAAGACACCGGTCAGGATTTTAATGGGTGAGTTTATTCATATTATTATTATTGTTAATGTTGATTTTATTATTATGAATGATATTAATATCTCTGCTATAGTTATTATTATTATTGTTTGTTTGTCTTATTAGTGTCATTATTATTATTATTATCATAGCAGAATAATTGTACCCATTTAAAGACGTTAATTTGGGCTCTGAAAAAGTTTGTCGAGCATTTTGCATTATTTACTGACATTTTGTGTGTCTCTGTGCGTGTGCGTGGGCATGTGTGTGCGTCGCTGCAGTGGGTCTGGATGCAGCAGGTAAAACCACTCTGCTGTACAGACTGAAGCTCGCTGAGGTCGTCACCACCATCCCGACCATCGGTCAGTGTTACCGTCCAAGCACGAGTTAAATGACAATACACAAAATAGTACAACATAAAATAACTCAACTGTGTGTGTGTGTGTGTGTGTGTGTAGGTTTTAATGTGGAGACAGTGGAGTACAAGAACATCAGTTTCACAGTTTGGGATGTTGGAGGTCAGACCATCATCAGACCTCTGTGGAGACACTACTTCACTAACACGCAGGTACTACTACTAGTACTACTACCAATCCTCCCATAATGAGAAGTATTTTACTGAAGCCGTGGGATTGATTCTGTCCGACCTCCTGCTTCGTCTTCAGGGTCTGATATTCGTGGTCGACAGCAGCGACCCCGAGCGGATCAAAGAAGCCGCTGACGAGCTTCACAGGATGGTAAACTGCGACTGTGGCGGTGGTAAGAAACAATAATGACGTCAGAGCAGGACGTCACTGATTGGTTGACGTCTCACTCATGTCGCAGCTGGAGGAGGACGAGCTGAGGGGCGTGGCCTTACTGGTGTTCGCCAACAAACAGGATTTGCCCAGAGCCATGTCCGTGAGTGACATCACGGAGGCTCTGCGCCTATCGGGAGTCTCGCAGCCGGTAGGTGTCCAATTCCCACAATGCAATGCAGAAGTTGGGTGCGTTCGCTCTGGTGACCAGCAGGGGGCGGCTCCTCTGTCCCCATAGACGTCTATGAGAAAATGACTCTACTTCTTTCTTGATTTGTTCCCTCAGTAAAGATTGTAAACATGAGTTCATGGTCTCAATCTGTAGTGCCGAGTCTTCTTCAAGGCGCTCAGTTACCAACGTTTAAAGATTCCATTTTTAAGAAACGAGTCCCCAGAAAAAGATTACCTAAACGAAGTCTCAACTGTCTTTAACCACAGGAACCAATGAGAACGCTCTGCGTCTCACCTCGCTGTCTTTTGTCCCCGCAGTGGTCGGTCCAGGCGTCCTGTGCCGTGAGCGGGGCGGGTCTGGTCGAGGGTCTGGACTGGCTCTCGGACCGGATCCTCACACCGTGATCACTTCCTGTGGAGCTGGAGAAACACTCTGGGCCCGGCTCGAGGTCGGAGCCACACGCACAACACACGTGTTCATGAACTTCGTGCGTGTTCCTTCACACGCTGCTCTGTCCTCTCACCACTCTCCTCACAGCAGGGGTTAAAAGTGTCTGTTGTTTCACGACGGGGAAACCAGGCCGGAGAGCTCAGTGGATCAAACAAACGTCCCCACGATGTCAAATTATGTTTAATCTTAGATTCAGAAAACGACGCCGCAGATTCATTTAGAGCTTTAAAAGTGGACAAAAATCTGTTTTCTATTGCGTGTCTCTGGTGATGTTTGGAACTTTTCTTTAAAGAAAGTTAAACTTACATTTTGTTGATGTTTTCATTTGTCTAATCCTTATTTTATAGCAGATGTTCATATTCAGTTCATCTGTCTGCTGATTTTACACTTGAAATAAATGTATATTTTAATAAACGATATTTTCATAAAACCTCACCTTTTCTTGCTAATTTCCTACTTGTTGCCTTCCGGGTAATAAATTACAATGTTTTTGTAACATTTTGGCTGATTCTGTTTAATAGATAATCTGAAATAAGATGTTTAAGTTCAATTAATTTTGTTATTTTGTTCATGTTTAGTCAAGTTATTATTCTATTTAAAATTCAGATCGGACCGATTCGTACCAATCCTTCATAACAATGATAATAATAATTATTACCATAGTTAAAGTATCATAGTACCTCACATGATGCGTCACAATCACTAATCATTCATATTTCATTATGTTGCAGCTTTGAGAAGAATTCTTCTGAATACATTCTTTTCGACACTAAATGCTATTTTGATAAGGTCAATGGAAATAGAAATACTGGCAGTAATGGGAGCCTTTGTGTGGACTGTAACTGGTTCTCAGGTGTTCAGCGTTGATCTGATGCAGACGTGTAAGTAAATGTGAAGAGCGGTTTGGATTCTGAATTTCTCCGCTTGGTGATACGAGAAAAAAAACACGAACTCACTTTTAATAAATGTACTGAAACACCTTCATGTTATGTGTGAACTTAGATTTAGCAAAGAGGGATGAATAAATGGTTGAAAGGTGTTTGTTCATAACTAATATTTATCATTTCCTTAATTGACTATTAGTTATTTTATTTAATCACATAAACGCATCATTTTTGTAATCTTTAAAGCTGTAGGACCAAAACGGGCGACACCTCTCTGCATGTTGCATAGTTAGAATAACATGCAAACCACATGTACGCTTGATTTAATCAGCAGACTGACCCGGGCGGGTGGAGTTAGTGCTTTTATTTATCACAGAGAAGATTTTTTTTATTTCCGCTTATGACACAAACAATTATCACTTCGTCAGTAAAGTGTTGCTTCACTTCTCCCCCAAAATAAAAATTCATTATTAACTGTCAATTTATGCTTACATCTCCAGAGGGCTGTGACCTCTGACCTTTAACATCCTGACCTTTTTTCTACAGATAAAAGTCAGATTAATGAATAAAAGCTGTGAAGAACAGAAACCAATGAGGGCGATAAACATTGTTTTGTAAAAGATCAATTTTCAGATGTCAGGAGAAACACGCCGACTCAGCACATTATTTAACGTTAGTGTTAAAAGTACATTTTTTTAAGTCATTTTATTTAGAAAAGACCAAACCTTTTTCTCTGTTTTCAGTTTTCAAAATGTCAGTCAACAGTCAACAAATAAGGCAAAAGTAAAGAGATCATTGATCCGATTTGTGCTTTTCTTTACCTTAATGGACCAAGAAGGAATACGATATAAAATATATGATTATAGCTATTAGCTTTTTAATGAGCACTACTTGCATGCAGCTATTTATTTAGTAGGAGGCAGAAGTTTCAGATATGTGGAATTAAAATCTTGATGTGAATCCATAATATAATTTTTATATTATGGATTTTTCTTCCCGACAACAAACACACACACACAAACAAACACGCAGGCAGACAGACACACACGTTGCATACAAACGGACGGAGAACAAATATCCAATAAATCAACAAATATGGAATAATAAATCGGTGGCGGGGATTTCAGAAGTTGTATTTAAACCAAATTTAGCCCATTTGTAACCTGCTTATCATCCAGATGTTCTTAGTTAGCCGTTAATGAACCGCAATAATCACCTGGCAGCGACCACGGAAACATGACGACATGATCGTTTTATCGATTAATCGATTGGTTTGTACATCCAACTTTTTCTGTTTGGTCGATCGAGACTTTAAAGAATATAAAGAATGATTGAATGATGAAAAAGACCCAACGCTGAATCCATGATGCTTGTTTTTTTTTTGTTAGTTGAATGATAAATGATAAAAAAACACCAGGAAGTACTTTTCAAAATAAGACTCCCTCTTCCTCTGTTGGTTCTGTGTCTTCTGGGTTCTAGAAAGAATGTGACTGACTGTCAGATGTTCCTCATTCATTCAGCACTCGCTGCTCTCCACCGCCGTTGCCGTTAGCGCTTTATATAAAACAAAACATTAAAAACAGAACACAAACTTGCGGGTTAAAACTATACCTGGATCCTCTTCTGGAGAGACGGTATCAAAAGCAGTGTTTTGTTTTTACACAGGAAAGTCTGTGACGTTTCCATGCTGCCCTCCTCCTCATATAGCGAGGGTGCGTTTAGTTTATCCTCTCCGCTCACAGAGTCCAGCCGGTGACACCACCCGCCCGCCCCACCCGCTCCTCTGACTCCGGAGCTTGGGAGTCGGTACTCGGACGTGTCCTCCGTCGACCTCCGTCAGGCCTCCGACTCCCCCCTCTTCTTCCCCTCCTCCCCGGCATCGCTGTCCTCCGAATGGCTGTTGCTAAGCACCAGCACCTGGCCGTCGGCGGCGGGTTGGTTGCCGGGGCGACTGGAGGCGGCGATCAAGCGGCTCTGCTCCTCCAGATCCTGCAGACGAAAAAAGTGAATAAAGTTTGTTTGAGTAGAAACACTTCCCCATTGGCTTCACTCAGATCCTGATTTCAGCACCGGGACAAGTGAAAGGTGAAACGGGGTCAAAGGTCACCTTCTCTATCTGCTTCTGTTTGCTCAGTTCCTCCTGCTGCCTCTCTTTAGCCTTGTCATGCTCCTTCCTCTTCTCCACGGCCTTACGGTCCTACACAACAACAAGACGACACGGATCAACCCTCCCCCACACGACCTCCCCCCCACGCCCCCCTCCCTCCCCCGCTACAGAAGACGCCAGCTGTCAAAACGCCGTTAAAGTCACCGTCTCACCATCTCGGAGTGGAAGGCTATCTGCTTGGCCAGACCGACGCTGTCGCAGATCTGAAAACACGTGAAGAAGAAACATGCGAGGTGAGACGGACGGACCCAAACGGAGAGTTTGTGGACAGTGGGACGGGCGGAGGGACAGAGGGACGCACTTTCTCTCCGTCGTTGTTGGACTCAAAGATGTAGCAGACGGCTCGGCCGTCGCCCTGCCCGCCCGCCGGCTGCAGGACGAAACCGAACAGCCTGCGGTTGTCCTGGTGGGACGAGCACTGAACCACACTGGTGAGGGGGAACTGGTGGGGACGGGGGCCAGAGGAGAGGACACAACGGGAAAGAGTGGGATTAGAAACGTGTCAGAGACTAAAACCTTCTGAGCGGAAAAACTGCGGGCGGAGATCATCTCACCCGGAGTCGAGTGACTTGTGTTTGAGGATCAATGAGTCTGAAACGAAACGACAAACGCATCTACTGTTACAATTCAGTCCTACTTGGTCCAACTGTCGATCCAGCCGGTTTCTTCATCGGCCCTTCGATGGAGACGTGTTAGTCGCAGCGTGTAGCTGATGTTTCAATTTAATAGTAACAGTGGTTTTTGATAAAGAGAGCAGCCTCGAGAGGACGGAAAAGACTTCAGAGGACATCTGAATCCTACTTGAGGCAGTCGCAGGTGACCAGCAGGTGCGACTCGGTCATCCTGAAGATGTTGTGGATGGCCCTGGCTGCCAGGATCTGCCTCATGGTCTCAGGGATGACGTCTGCCGTCTCGGCGGTCCTCACCTCCATGGAGCCCAGGAAGCGAACGATGAAGAGCTGGTGGAGGATCGAGTCTGGGCGACAAATATGTAGATTTATACACGTTTAAAACATCTCATCCACTGGGGGGGGGGGACACGGATCATGAGACCCAAAGGTAGTTTGGTGAATTATTTGACATGATCCAGAAGGACGTCTGTACCTTCACTGTCTTCTGGTGTGCTGTCTCCCGTCTCTCCAAATGGATTACTCCTTCTTTGGACACACACATATTTTCAATACACAATTACGTGAGGCAAGTATATATTTTTTTCTGATGGCTTTTGTTTATTTATACTCTTACTTGAGGCTTTTATTGTGAAAGGTAAGAACAGCAGCGCTTTTAGGCCGCATCGCTCTGTGTGAAAGTATCTATGACAACAACAGCTCGAAAAAGAACAACAAAGAGGCGAGACATGAGCGCGCACACACAGACAGACACACACACACCTGCCGGACTGGGCCGTCTTGTTCTGTCCGGCGTTCTCCTCGCTGAAGAGTGATATGATGTCAAACTGGATGGGCGTGTCCGGGGCAACCAGGGCATCCAATGAGAGCACAGAGAGGGCCGGCGACGGCTCGGAGCCCACAGAGCTGATGCTGCTCGCTCGGCCCGCGCGCCCCTTACTGGAACGGGGGGACAGACGGGGGGTTTTACTGGTGGAGGTCCAGTTGTCCCGCAGACATCTGATTGACCACCAAGACACACACACACACACCTGCTGGGCCTCATGCTCTCATGTCTCTGCTGGAAGGACGGCGACGGCGTCACGGCCTCGAGAGCCGATTGGTTCACTCTGGCTGCCAGCTCCTGCCGATGGGACGAGAGGACGGCCGGTCGGAAACGATTGTACATGAACAAAATTAACAAGGTGTCAGAGGTTTTTTTAGCGTGTAGTTATTATTTAAATGGATCTTGGATTTCCTCTCGTTGGCCGTAATAATAGTAATAAATAATAGCCGTCTTTCAATAACCTAGTGGTACTTTAAGGACTCAGCCGGCCGCTCAGCCACACATGACCACGACCCGGCGAGTCAAAAACACACGGCGCGAGCGTCAACGAGGGAGGCGGGACACGGACCTCTGCGTTCTCACTCAGGTAGATCCTTTTGGAGATGTTGTTGATGGTGGCGATCCACTGGAGGAGGAGAAGCGGCAGGAGAGACGGCGTGAGGACACCAGGACGGAGCAAGTCACATGACACGTTAAACACCTTGTTGTTGTTGTTTTTTTACCTCCTCGCAGTCCTTCCTGCTCTCCGACTGCAGCGTCACCACTCTGCCCAGAACGCACAAGACGGGAGCAAAGATTTGAATGAAGCGGCATTGACGCTCAGCGTCTGCGAGGGACAAACGTTTAAAAGGCCGCCTCACTTCTTGCCGTCGAAGGACGTGACCTGGAAGCAGAAGCGCCGGTCGTCGCTGTCCACCGCCATGACGGAGCTGTTGTCCAGGTCCGTGACCAGCCCGCCCGCCACCTCGCCGCGGCCCTGCTGCATCAGGTTCCCGCCCTGCGTGAAGAAGTACTGACGCTCCCAGGACGAAGACACCAGCCCCGTCTTACTGAGGGGACACAGAGGAGAGACACGTCCACGAGAGACGGAGCCAGCGGCCGGATGAACGTAACAGCCCTCGTTTTAATTCATGAATTAAATTAATTAAATTAAATATATCTAAATAAATCTAAATATATCAATTTTTTTTTTTTTTTAAACATGAACATCTATTAAAAGGCGTAAAAATATAGCGCAGGTGTGTGTTTCCTACCTGCGGATGTGCAGGTAGCCCTGTTTCCTGGTCAGGTTGCGGCAGACCGGCGAGTGGGCGGGGTCAGGGTCACACGGTGCGTACAGTTGGTCACATGATCTCTCCATCTCCTGGATGGTCTCCTGCATCTGCCCGACCTCCTCTTCCATCTCCCGACGCACGCTACACACACACACACACACACACACACACACACATTATGTTTGTATCCAAGTTTCCTCGAACTCAAACTGAGAAACAAAAAGAAAAAGAACAAATGGAGGGATGTGTGTGTGTGTGTTTGTGTGTGTGTGTGTGTGTGTGTGTGTGGGGGGGGGGGGGGTCTTACTTCTGGACACTGGTTCCGATGGTTCCCAGGAAGTCCTCCCACTGCTGGGTGAGATTTTCTGAACCCAGCTTAAAGAAACTGATCTGCAGAGAAGAAGAAGCAGGTTTGGATCGTTGTCTGAAAGCATTATGGAAAGAAGCCTGAAGAGAAAAGAAGTGTTAATAAATAAGGAACTTTTTCTCTTGAGGTTTCTTTCCATAATGTTGTCAAACAGTCTGAGGCTTTAAGTGGACATAGATAGTGTGTGTGTGTGTGTGTGTGTGTACCTGCGCCTGCATGTAGCCCAGCAGCGGCTCCAGCAGAGCCGTCTTCTTCTTGTACTGCAGCGTGTTCAGCGAGCAGAAGTAGTGCATCATGGTCTGGTGGTGTTTCTTGCGGGAGGTGTAAACGTCCTCCACGGCCTCCACCCGCAACTGCAGCACGCGAGACGCTTTTCTTACGACCATATCACGCACGTCCAGTCGAGATAGTCGTACGGTGCAATGTTCACATGACTCGTGGGTGCAATGAAGTTTAAAATATCCTGTAGATAAACTGCTTGTTCCTCCTCACTGAGAGCAAAACACTCGACTCTTTGCTGTCCTGCTCCTAAATGGTGGAAGGAGGTCTCTGAAGACATCAGGACCACAGAGAGCCTTCACATCTTCACACTCTACCTCCACCAAAACACTAACTGTAGCACTTAAATTGGACTTATAATGGTTCTTATCTATAACAACTTGTAAATCTGCTTATTTGATGAAATTGTACTTTCTTGTTTCTTCTTTTAAGTTTGTATCCTTATGATTGAAACACACTTATTGTAAGTCGCTTTGGATAAATGACAAGTAATGTGATCATAAGCAACCGTTAAAACCAGGACACGAGTTCGAAATTCTAAAAGCGGCAACCGGGGAACCTTTAACGTCAAGCCCTGCTATAGAAAATTTAAATGGGTGTTTTACTTCAGTTTTTTTCGGCTTTTTGTCAGAAAGTTTCAAGTTTTAAATGATACACTAAACATTTCTCACCTTATCGTTGTCCCTCTTCTTGGACAGGCGGCTGTATCTGTTAATGGCGACGTCGTGGTCTGCAGACACCGTCAGGAGCGTCAGTATCTTTGTTTGTTACTTTTCAAAATGCATTAACGCACAACGAGACCAACGACGATCCACGAGGAAAACTTACCGTCACTGGATATTTGGAAGACTTCTTTCAGAGTGAGGATCTCTGGAGAGACGAAAGAAGAACTGCAAGTTACCGTGGGAAACCCCCTTCATACCAATTAAGGTCCATTTCATACAGACAACAGGGCGCTTCCAACCGTTGGGGAATACCAACCACAGATAGTAAACCGATGTAGAACTTATCTGCCGCCTCATCATCATGTTGTATTGAAGAAGACTTCAAACTAGAGATTGAGACCATGAACTCATGTTTACAATGTTTACTGAGGGAATAAAACAAGCGAGAAGTAGATTAGTTTTCTCATAGACTTCTATGGGACCAGAGGAGTCGCCCCCTGCTGGTCACTGCAGAGAATGCGGGTTCGGGATCTGATTCAGTCTGAGGAACCGGAGGTTGCCGCCTCATTTAAACACAACGAAGGTCGTGTGCGCAAAGAGAGGTACATGAAAAGCGTTTTCCCAGTTTGGCGTAGAGGAACTCTGACCTCAACTCGTCACAACCACATTGGATCAGACAACATCAGCTGGATACATGTGCCAGATCATCAGTGCACCGTGTGTGTGTGTGTGTGTGTTTCCTACCCTTCAGGTCTCTCTCTTTGAACTGAGTGATGGGAAACATCATGGCATCTGCAAGCTGGGTGGACAAAACGGCATGGCAGGAACTCAACTACAAAAGAGAGAGAGAGAGAGTGGGGGGGGGGGGTGACATTTTCATATTGTCACACGTCAAACATCCTGTCACCTAAAGTCTTCCTGCTGTGGAACATCCAAAAATATCAAAACAGCCGCAGGCTGAGTCCTGGTGTGTTTCGTATCCTCGCTCACCTCATCAATGACTTTTGCAAACTGCTGCAGGGTGGAGCTCATCACCTCGTCATCGCCCCCTAGAGGAAAACGCTGTGGAGGACAACAACAACAACAACATTGATTGATTGATTTGAGAGAAAAGAAGAAATGTGTCGCTGCAGCATGAAACGTACAGTAAAGCAATGGAGGTTAAATGTTGAGCTGAGACCTCTGGGGAATAGAGCTGGTGTCTAGTGTTATGAGGCTGGTGGTTTAAAGGTTAAAGGTGTTTAAAGGCGGGTGGCTGGTGTTTAATAGTGGGAAGAATTGGGGTGGGCGTGTAGGGCTGGTGTCTAGTTTCATGAGCTTGGTGGCTGGTTGTCGACTCGGCAGACCTGTTTGTCGTACTCCTTCAGCAGTCTGGAGGTCAGGTGAGTCGCAGCACTGAGCTCATTCTGAGAGAAAACAGAACAGACACGTGAACGTCCTCCCGTTGGTTCCGTCTGCACCCTCAAAGCAAAGTGGCACTGCACCCGAGAATCGCGTGCGTGTTTACCTGCGCGTCATAAATCCTCTGCATGGCCTCATACAGCTGTGTGCAGTAGTTGGACATCGCTGTCGTGTCCTCCTCAAACACTCCCAGCAGAGAGCGAGTCTTCAAAACAACAACACAGGTGGGGGGAAAAAAAAGCAGCGTTAATCATCTGATCCCAACCTCACACCTATGTAGGCAAATACTCACCTGCTGCATGTCCACACAGTGCAATACTGCTCCTCAACTGTGCTATTTACATAGCAGGTATCTGTTGAATGGGCCCTACGTTATGACGTAGTGTGTTAACAGATTAAGAGTTACCCACAGAGGGGGGGGGCTAGCTTAGAGGCTAAGGAAGTGGTCGGCTACCTATCGATTGTCAACGAGTGCATTTCTGTGTGAAGCCTGCGCCTGACATTCTGACCCTCTGACCCCCGCTGATCGCTACAGCAGGCGACGCACGGCTGTCCGCCAGCTTTGGTTAGCCGGGCCCTTAGCATGTTAGCCTCCTGCTTGAACGTGTCATCTCCCCCACTGGTTGAGGGAAACACCGCGGCGCCTCTACAAAGACGGCTAGCCTGGCCCCGCGAGTGGCTACCGTTAGCATGCTAGCCGAAGCCTTCCAGGGGCAACACGGTGCTCGTTACCTGAGGGCTGTCCTCCAGCGTCTCCTCTATCGGCAGCTTCTCTATTCCGGGCATGGCTTCGGTTGGTAATCGGTACGAATGGACGGACAGAACGCACAACAAATCGGTCCCGATAACTCCCACTCACGATTTCTTGGCTGAACGAATTCACAACACCCCGAAGACGGTCCTCCCGGTTCAGTGGGTACCGCCCTCCAGCTGGATTGTGATTGGATAGAAAGGAAACGTACCAATCTGATTGGTTCATTGTTTAAAGGGGAAACGGCGCCATTTTGGCTCTGATCAGGATCGCCCTTTCGCTGTACCCGTGTACACCTTGAGCCTTAATGGATGCTCCGTTTGTGTGAATATATATATATATATATATACACACACGTGATAAACGCAGTCTATACAACAATATAATGATTTTGTATAATAAAAACATCATCTTTTGAAATTAAAAATGAAATCCCTTTCAATTTTATTTGAGGGTGACCCATTTTGACACGTGCCCGGATTACGTAGATCCACCCTCTGTTTCCTCCACAGTGGGCGACGTAGGGGAACCGGAAGAAAACAGGTCCTCCACCATGCCGCGGAGTCCGTGCAGCACGCAGCAGCTCTGGCCGCTGCGGGGCGTCTCCATGTCAGAGGCACGTAACCACATGCCAACCTCGTCGTAATAGCGCTCCACGGTTAACATCGCTGCGGTGCCGTCAAATCCTCCGACCACAATGAGTTGCTCCTCCATCACCTCAAGGCCGAAGAAGCTGCGGGCACAGCACATGGACGGTGCGGTTCTCCACCGGTCGGTGTCAGGGTTGTAGGCCTCGACGGTGCACAAGTGGGTATTTCTGCTATTGGTGCCGCCCATCTGGAAGAGAAACAGGTGAAAGACAAGATGAGACAGAACTTTATTAATTAATGTCCCAGAGGTTTATGAAAGAGACGAGATGAAGCTATAACCGCCTGTTTTTTCTCCATCGTACAACTAAACCCCGGATAATAAGGCACTCGTTGAACACACTCACTGCATAGATGCGGCCTTTGTAGGCAGCGATCCTTAGACCGCTGCGGTTGCTCCTCATGTTGGCGATCACGGTCCACTGGTTGGTGTTCGGGTCGTAGCATTCGGCCGCGGTGAGGCTCCGATGCCCGTTGTAACCTCCACAAACATACACCTACACAGGCGGGTTTTAGGACACTTAATGTGCATTCCGCTACAGATGGCGGCAAAGTAACACAAAATACCCCCCTGCCCCCTCCCTCTTCACAACTGGCAATTAGAAATTGGCAAACGTGGCAAAAAATTCTCACTCTCAACTCTCTCCTTCACCCACCTTGCCATTAAGAGTCGTAGCACTGGCGCTACACCTCTTGGAACGCATGGGCGCCACCATGGTCCACTGGTCGGCCTCGGGCGAGTAGCGCTCGACGGAGCTGTAGTAAGAGTGTCCGCTGAAGCCTCCGAACGCGTAAATACACCCGTTCTGCACGGCGACGCAGACATGGCAGCGGGAGTGGTTCATGGCCATCACCGGGTGCCACGCGCGGGTGACGAAGTCGAACTTCTCCACGGTGTTCAGGTTGATCTCTCTGTCGCTGCCGCCGATTACGTACATGAAGCCGTTGAGGAGGGCGGCGCCGTGGTGGACGCGGCGCATCTCACCGGCGCGTATCGGGACCCAGCAGTCGGTCCGGACATCGTAGGCGTCCAGGCCGGTGACGGCTATTGCGCCGTTCCTGCCCCCGGTGACCAGCAGGATGGAGGACGGCAGCCGTGGGCGGCTCAGCCGGTTGCTGTAATCGGGTTTCAAGGATCTGCAACGGAGGTCTATGAATTTTGTCACGGCGGCGTCGCATTTGACGCTGTCCTTTATCAGAGCGCTCTCCTTCACATTGTGCTGCAGGTAGTCGGCGGTCATCAAGCCGAGCCGCACCTGGACACATACGAGGGGCAAGGAAGTTACATACCGGTCAGATACCGATCTCGCAATGAGAACGCAGTTGAGATGAGTGTGCATCTTTGCTCTTCTGGTTCAGAGAGAATGCCATTTACAAAAGAGAAAAGATGAAAAAGTGCCCACTTTGGATGCCTCTACGGTGGAGAAAACACGTGTTCTCTGCACTTCCAGTGAAGAAAATGAGACGCAGTAGAGTAGTGGGTACCCTTCCAGATAGGTGGCCTACAAAGGGAACCTTCTGCGTTTTGATGCCACTTGTGTTATTTTTTACTGCTGCCTGCTTGGTTCTAATGGGTTTGTGCTTGATAGACCGAAATAAGGAATGTGGTTAACAGAAGCTTAAGAAATGTTTTTTTTTAAATAAAAAAAAAGACAGAAGCTTAAGGCTCCCACTACTCGTCAAGGTTGCTAACAAGTGGAAGTCAACTGGTCCGTTTTCACAACCTCGGTGAGTAAAATCATAGTGATGTGACCATAGTGACGTTTGTTTATAGCCTTTCTGCCTCTGTCCATTGCCTCCATCATTCCAGGGTCATAAATATGGGGCTAATTTGTGAGGAAACGTTGTTTGCTTTACACACGGGTTATTCTGTCCAGACAAAGGTCGACTACACCTACGGTTCTATGGGATTGTGTGGTTACCTTGGAAAACAGCTCAGAGATTCGACCCCCTCTTTGGTCTGGCTGGTGGGAGATCCACCGGAGGATGGTCTCAAACACTGTGCTTTCTCGTCTCACATTGAGGTGGTCATTCTCAATGATGGCCGTCAGCTGCTCCACGGAGAGCTCCAGGATGTCCTGCGAGACAGCGATGATCCTATCAAAGTGTTGCAGGATGAAGAGGAAGACCTTGTGTCTCAGCTCAGGCAAGTGGTAGAAGTGCATCAGCCTCCAGATGCCGATGCAGTTCCACAAGCACAGCTGGTCCTCCAGGAAAAAGCAGCACCTCTGAACAATCCCGGAGACCAAGAACTGGTCTGCTGCTGCCAAAACCTCCAACACGTTGTCCTGGGTCACATTAACATCCTGAGTGTAGGCGTAATCAATGATGAGGCGCATCATCGCGGGCGACACCCCGGGGATATTGTACAACTTTTGTTTTGCGACGGCCCAGGCACCGGTGAAGAGAGTGCTGTGGGATCACGATTTAGAGGGTTAGAGAAACACAACGTAACATCTGGACCTTTTGGACCAAACGTGAAGGACTCACCTGAAGTACTCGCTGGAGCTGCACAGAATGATCTTGTGGGCGTCGAATGCGGCGCCCCCGACCTTGATCATCACGTCGCACAGTTCCTTCCTCTGGAGGAGTCCTTTCATCGCTGAGGAGGCCATCTCACGCACCCTCTTCTCCGCCTCACCTCGGTCAGAATTTGATTTGGCGGAAGCTGTTCCTTCTTCGGCCATCCCTTCTGCTCCAATGTAGGTGGTCAGGGGGTTTGTGACAGGTTTGACAGCTGTAAAGGCTCAGAGTTCCTCACGGCCACATTCTAGAGTCTTTTATTGTGACATCACAGAATCTGGAACCATGGCACTGTTAAACAAGTTCAACTAATTTGCATAATACAATTACCTCACTGTTATGTTTGAACTACAAGACATGGCTTTGAACTGCAAAAAAAGGAAATCCTAATTGAGTATGTTTTTGTGTTATCTGTTTTTGACCAAATAAGTTTACAAAGACGGTAAGACAATAAGATGTAAAGAAAGTATTTGTTTTTAAATCCCAAATATTTCCTTTTGTTTTTTGTCTGGTTTTATTATCGGTTAAGGGTAAAAAAGTGGTGGAGCTAATTACCATTAGTCTACATTCTGCTGGGAAGAATGTAAAATAATGGGATCTTGTTATAATATAATATAATGTCCTAAATAAGTCATTTTACTAAGTTACTTTCCGCTGGTTTAACCCTCAACGCCTCTCTGATAAAGTGAGGACCGGATTAATGTATAAATAAAATCTAAAATAATAAAATCTATAGCACTTATTTGATTAAATTGCACTTTCTTGCTCTTTTGCGTTTGTATCCTCATGGTTGAAATGCACTTATTGTCACTTTGGATAAACGCGTCAGATAAACGACATGTAATGTAATATAATGTAATGTAATATTCTATCAACGAGGTCCCCACAAAGGTGGATAACAAACAAAAGCGCGCGCGTACACCCATCCACACACACACACGCGCGCGCGCGCACACCGGCGCGCCTCCCCGCGCCTCCTCGCGCCTCCTCGCGCTCCCTCTCTGAGCCTCTCAGAGTCGTCCTGGCTTGCGGCAGGAATGGCGGCGCCGCGGAGCTCCCTCGTCTCTCTCTGCGGGTTGTTTGTGCTGCTGGGCGCCTCCGCTGGATCCACGACCTCCGGCACCAAGCGGGCGAACCAGGAGCGGTGCGGCTACAAGGTAACGAGGCTACAAGGTAGCGAGGCTACAAGGCGAAGAGGCTACAAGGTAGCGAGGCTACAAGGTAACGAGGCGCAACAGTTGCTGTGAAGCGACTCGCTGACGGAGCCGCTTCGGACGACTTTGGAGGCTCGCTGGTGCTTCGTCTCAACGGCCCAAGGAGAAGAAGAAGTTCGGAGCCGTGTCCGTCTGTGTTGTGTTCTCTTTCTACCAGTTTGAGTGTGTGAACTTGCTGAGGTGTAATTTGTCGAAACTATCGTGTGTCGGAAGTTTTTGTTGTTGTTAAACTCTCGGTTACCTTTCTCACCTGCCTGGAGCTGCAGCTCCGCGGTTCGTCCCGTTTGCACGTTACGTTGCGCACGAAACAGAATTTAACGTTCACTCGCTCATCAGTAAGATTTGCAGATCTCAGTAAACGGACTTAAAGCCTTTTTAAAACGAGTCTGGCTTTCCTGCCTAGTTCGGCATGCGCGGTGTCTGCCACAGAGGACTCAAGCATCTACATTTTACAACTGGTTTCAACTCACGTTACGACTTCGTATTTAGTTGTGGATCTGTGCTGAATGGAAAAGTGACCCTCAAACCTCGTGTTTATGTGTTTTTTTGGCGTTTGGATGCACAACCTGTTTAAAGTGTATCAAGATAAGAAGGCTGGAAGTCCCCAGTCAGATGAGGTTGACCTGCTGCTTCACTCCAAACTCCTATAAAGAAAATGGTCATTGGACATTTCCTGTTTTGAGGTCTTGTGGGTCTTTTCTGTGTCAGGTTTTGTGTTTGGTTACATTCTGCGTGCAAGCCGTGTGACAGTTGTTGGTTATTCTTGCAGGCCGACAAAATCAGAGAGCCAGCGGTTAAAGAGGAAATGATTGTTTAATGGCTTCTTGGTGCTTAATTACAAATATTTCACATGGATCTAAAAGCACAGCGGCCTCACTTCTTTCCGTCTGAGTTTTGTGGCTCCGTGGAATCACAGGACGTAAAGCTGATGTCCTCCTTTTTGTGTGTTCTGTTAAAAACTTTTGATGTGGAAAACAGGAATATGCGAGTTGATGCACCACCTCCACATTCTGCTCCTGTACCAGCAGCTTTGTTCCTGGCCATGAATGCACCACTGTTTACCACTGTTTACCACCGCTTACCACTATTTACCACCGCTTACCACTGTTTACCACCGCTTACCACCGCTTACCACTGCTTACCACTGTTTACCACTGTTCAGCCCGCTCCATCACTTGACCACACCACCACACGTCATGGTGGCAGAAGGTCTTCAGATAACATAACATTTTAACGTGACGCCTCGATACCTTTTACTCCTTCACTCTGATGCCAAACATCCTTTTCTTTAGTTTTTGTTTCTTTTTTTGAAGAACTTCGCTATCAAACCTTTTTTTTTTTTTTTTTTTCTTACTGTCAGTTCGTTTGAAAATCTTGAATCTCAGAAAAATGTCAACTTTCCCCAAACTTCAGATGATCAGAATGATGATTTTGATGTCGCTGCCAATGGCTAAAGTGACGGATCACCATGGTTACCAATGGGTAACTATGGTGAGGTCCCCTGTGTGGCGTTGCTAAACGTTTTTTAAATGTGTCGATTGATCTGCATGTTTTTCTAGCTTTATTTATTTATTAGCTTTATTATTGATTAATTATTGTTTTGTGAACAGTTTGAGTTTACTATCATTTGGGTCATTTTATTATTGATTTCTGTTCCTTTGAGTTAATTTCGGCATATTCATTGGCCAATTTGATTAATAGCTTATACTAAATGAATTAACTTGACTCACACCTATTTACCTGTTCATTGATATAAATGAAGAGTCAATGTTCACTCTTGATGATCAGCGTAGTTGGCGATTGTTGATCGGCTCCTGGATCAATCATCGTTTTAGCGATAGAGTATTGTGGGAAAGTTAAAAGAAACTTAAAGAAAGTCACACGCAGATTCAGGTTTTAGGTTTTCAAAAGTCAGTGATATGATTTTCCTCTTCATGTTCGTGATGATCATGTATGTGCATAGGGTTTAAATTTACCTGTGCTGATAGATGAACCTGCCTGCGTGTGTGTGTGTGTGTGTGTGTGTGTGTCTCATCCTGGTTTCCTCTCTTTGGCTTTGAAGTGTTTTTTACAGGAAGCCTTCACACTGTTTACTCTCCTGAAACATTCCTTCTTACAACCCCCAAACACACAAAACACCACACACGCACACCCCGTCTCTGTGTGCCCCCCCCAGCCCCCTTCCTGCTTCCCCCCTCTTTTCAGAAACACACACATCAAAGGCTGCTGGAAGGGGGGGGGGACCTGCTATTCTACAGGTGTGAGGTTATTAGATCTCTGTGTGTGTGTGTGTGTGTGTGTGTGTGTGTGTGTGTGTGTGTGTGTGTGTGGGTGTGGTAGAGACCCATAAAAGCTCTGCTGGTTTTACGTGTTGGCTTCGGGTTTCAAAAAGGGCCCTGAGTATATTTATACTTTTTATTATAATTGATTAAGCAACAAGGTCAAAAAGGCCTTTGTTTTAGTTTACGTTTTAAAGAAGCTTTTTAGAACAACGTAAAGCAGCATTCAGCACAAGCACCTTTTGCCAGAATGTGTTTCTTTTGTTCTCTGACTCTTTGTTTGGTTTATTAGTTTTAGCACCAGGGAAAGCGGTGAAGACGAGTAAACGCATACAGACACTCTAATTAAAGCTTGACATAAGACCTTCCACTGTATCCCATTGCTATAGAAATGAGTTCCCTTAACATAATGACATATATGACGCAAACACGTTTAAACAAATGCATGAGAATGAACAGATAACTCCGTCTTTGGCACTTCATAAATATACCGGGGCCTCCAGAACCAAAAAGCTGAACCAGACTGAACTTTGACCTCGTCAGGAGACACTTCTGGTGGGTTACTTTGGGACGTGAAGCCGTATTTCCACTTTCATTTCTCTGATTGTTCTCCAGGAGACGGGATGATGGTTTGCTGTACCTCCCCAGCCTCATAGAATCTTCCCTGTCGATAATCTACCTGTCGCTGTTTTACCGTCGGATAAAACCTCAGCCACAATTCACTCATTCGCCTGAAACCCCTTTTTTTTTAGCTCCATAAGTCAGGTTCCTGCTGAAGGACGGAATCGGAGATGATTTAGGTCTCTGCCTGAACACATCTGCTGAAGCCATCACATCTGTCTCAGCGGAGGAAGACGCACCGGCAAATCGCTCAGCCTTTCGTCATCTCTCTGGATTCTTCATCTGCTTCTTTCCCTCTTTAACTCTGTCTGTTTGTTCGGAGTCTCTCTCCGTGTTTGTGTCCACGTTTGTTGCTTTAAGGAATGCTTGGTGGCTCTGAGTAGTTTGCCTCTTTTCTGTCATAAATCAGGGTCTCCTTTGCTGCTTGCAAGCATGGACGGTTGTGTCTTGCTTAGCGTTGTTTTGGACAACTGGGACGTGAAAAGGAGGCTTATTTGCAGCCTTTTGAACGTCTCATATATTGATTGCATTGTGTGGGTGAACCTCAATACTTTTTAACACAAGCCTGAAATGTTTCTATCAAAACATCTAATCAAGCTCATCTCAGTTTGTAACTCGGGTCCTAATTTGTGCTGCTTTTGCTGATTCGTCCACCTTTCTTCTTTCTCAGATGCATGTTATGTAAATACGAGCAGCTTATTGCACTCGGCCTGTCGCTGCAGGTCACATGACCGCGTTCTCCGCTTCTTTTCTTTCACACTCACGCTGCTTCCTCGGGACCAAATGTGGGTTTGTGCCCGCTCAAAGAAAGTCTGGATTTGTCCCGGCCCGGTCTGTGTGACGAGACAGAGACCCCCCCCACCCCCCCCTCCCCCCAGCAGGAGAGCAGCAGCTCCTCCTGGGAGGGGGGAGGAGGTGTGATGAAGCAAAGGGGGTGGGGGGGTCATTGAGGAGCAGTCATGCAGGAGGAGGAAGCTGCAGGTTTTGTTAATGTGGTGGGAAATCTCTGGTTGGCTGCCCCCGAGCACGCACACACACACACACACATGCACACACACATGCACGCACACACACACAGTTTGCATTGTTGCACCCAACGTGTTGTAGCTTTGTTCCTGGACGTGTTCCTCCACTGGAGCTGCAGAGCCGAGATCAGACGTGATTAGTGTTAGATTTTATTTCTATCATTTATCGGTACGGACTGTGGGAACCTATCGCCGTCTCTCCAGTTGATGCGTTTGATTTACACACCTCCTCGACGCAAAAGGGGCGGAGCTGATGCACGTCGCCAGAGCGATGAGAACAAACCACCTGGTTTCAGCATAGCAGACACGAGTGGAGTGAAACGCACACAAACACACACGGGTATATTCCCTTGCAGCCATGTTGCCCCATGTGGTAGTGTTTGTAGCCGTGTGTGTGTAACAGGAAGACATTAAGAGGGGTTTTTTGCCCTGAGGTTTTTGCATGAACCCTCATCAACGTGGCATGCACGTACCGCCTGAGTGTTGGGTTCTTTATTGCGTCATTTAAAAGGCTGAAAGAAACGGTTAGTTTGACCACGAAAGTCTTCCTGCGAACGTCTTCATGACATTTCTTTACTGGAGCTTTTTGTATCTGTCTGACCTGTAAT